GCAATTATTATTTGTTTGTTGTTTTCCTGCCCTGAAAATACAGGTAACTCCAAAGAGGACGGGGTACATGACTGGCACACGATACAACAATGGTGTCTTCATTCTGGGCAGGTCTAGAACAATCTGTTTAATGCCTGAAGGTTAACACAATCCAGACCATAAAATTTCTATCCAGTCCATAAAAAATGTTTTTTTCAAGCAAGGAGACTTACCTCAGTCAACTTCATCTCATGCTTTCAAGTCTCCAAATCACTAAATGAGGCCACTAGCTCAAAATTTTAAAGCACTTGCACTACAATCCCTAGCAATCCTTATTTTTTTTTGAGTCATTTCAGTTGTGTCCAACTCTCCAGGACCCCATTTCTGGGTTTTTGTGGCAAAGATACTGGAGTGGTTTGCCATTTCCTTCTCCAGCTCATTTTACAGATGAGGAAACTGAGGCTCAGAGAGAATAAAGTAACTTGCTTCTAGTCACACAGTATGTAAACAGCAAAGTCAAAGCTTGAACCTAAATCTTCTGGCTCTCATTACAGGGGGAAGGAGTTTGTTCCCTATTATAATAGGTGCCTCTTGCTAGATATTTCTATATAGTATACTAAACCCTCACTATTAAAATTGACTTCAGGATCCATACTGTGTGGTCACTTCATAAGGGATACTACCAGAGGTGTGCTGGAACCAACTCATACCTACTCACAACAGCTGATTGTCAAGCTTTCAATACAGGCATTCAAACCTCAGAAATTGACAAACACTACAAATTGGGGCTTGATTTAAGGTTCTGGTAGTTGTCTAGACTTAATAAAGTGGATGAAAATGTGAATAATGCAAATTTAAATTGCAAATGGGTCATGAAAACATTTTTTCAGAGAGATGGTTTTTAAACACTTGCAAGAATACTGCTGTCTTATAAACAAGGTCCTTTGAGTCTTATATAATGGGGTCCAAGACATTCCTGCCTAACACTGAAATCATTTCCATCATAATTAATATGACAGCAAAGTCCCGGTGCCAATGTCAGATATTTTGCTCGCCTCAAGGCATCCAGAGCTCTAGGATTCCTGATTTTGTCCAGACGATCATGGCACTTTTAGATCATTTAAAATGATAACAAATACTATTATCAATTAATTCACTTTTCTAGAGCGGTGATCACTGTAAGTGCCAAGACACCATTGTTGTATCGTGTGCCAGTCATGTACCCCATCCTCTTTGGAGTTATCTGTATGTGATTGGATGCTCTTAATTCTGTTTCAATATAATACTGGAGATGATGCTGGAAAAATGATACTAGAGGTGATACTAGAAATAATACTGGAGATGAAGCATAACAGAATAGGTAGGATGCTGGACTTAGAATTGGTTAAGCCTGGATTCAAATCCAGCCTTTGAAACTAGCTGCTTGATCATAGGTAAGTCATTTAAGCTCTCTGAGACTCAGTTTCCTCATCTGGAAAATAAAGATAACATCACCTGCTGTACCTATTCACAAGGTTGACAGGAGTTTCAAATGAACTCATGTATGTGAAGCACTAATTAAAGTCAGTAGGATCACAGATTTATGAAGGTTGGAAGAGACTTTCAAAGCAGTTTAGTCCAACCCTTTCATTTTGTAAATGAGGAAACTGAAGCTCTGAGAGTTTAGGCAATTTTTTTCAGGGTCCCCTGGCTAGTTAAGTGTCAAAAGCAGCACTTGAACCCAGATCTTCCTGACTCAAAATAGTAATTGTTGGCATTGTTGTTATTGCCTGAAGCAAGAAATACAAGAACCCTGCACCTAAACAAACAAAAATAAATCAGAGCTTGCTACTCAGCATACCCCAGGCTTTGGCAAAATAACATCTTCTCTCTTGGCAAAAATGCACTGCTGACACAACAGCCAGAAAATAACTTCAACTGGTGCTTAGCAGATCTCCCAAAAGCAAGCCAGAAACACCTTCAATATTGGAAGGGGGGGAGGGCAGGGCAGAGAAACAGAGTTCTGCTGATTCATTCTGACTGAAACCTGCAGAACCCTTGAGTAAGTATCAAACCAGCTGAGCTGGCACTTTATTTTTGCTGGGCTCACAGAATTCAGCAGACCTGAAATTTAATAGATGCCGCTTAGACCCCTATTCTTTTTCTCAGAGAGCAGCTGAGCTCATCTGTCCAGTGCATCTGATGGTGCATCCTTTCTTACCAGGATGCAGTCCTGGTCAACCATGATGACAGCCTCAATCACAGGGGTGAGGGAGAGGGAAAGAGAAATGGGGTGACTAAAGAAAACTTTAAAAATGCAACATACTTCCACTTATAGCCATATTCTCTCATTCTAAATCAACACTTGGAGAAGCTAGGTGGCACAGTGGATAGAGAACGGGCCCTGGATTCAGGAGGACCTGAGTTCAAATCAGGCCTCAGACACATAACACTTAACCCCACTGCCTAACCAAAAAAATAAAACAAAACAAAATACATCAACGTTCTACCAAAATCTTTATACAAAATGCATCTGTATAAAGCCTCCAGTTTTAGCAAATAGAGGGAAAATTCTGTTTGAATGCCTTCTTGGAAAGATTAGTCCCTAATCATGAGATAGAAAATTGTAGTAGAAAGTCTTTTCAAAATGGTTCCAGTGCAAATTTTCACTTCTTTTAGTATATGATTCATATTAGCCTCAATTAGAAAAACAAACAAAGGTGACGTAATGAAAAGCCTAAATTAAGGCCAGCTTACATGTGGATTAGGTCATCTATCATGCTTGTACAAATATTTATTCATTTTAAAAATTCGAATAGTCCATAATCTTTTTAGAATTCTTTTACTAGCCTGTATTTAACTATGATTATTTAATTTTTTTGGCCAGCATCCCACAACATGCAGAAACTTGTATATTATGTAGCCCCTTTTCATAAGTGTCCATCTGCAAATAAGATAAACCTTTTTAATCCAATTTCTAGCCTACCTACTCACAAGAAAGCAGAAAAAAAGTGGGCCAAATTCAAAAGAGTTCCTTTAGGTAGCCCAGTCAGAATAGCTCTGTCATTCTGGAATATTATTCTCAATTACATTCACTTAGCAGGCAAGAAATGTTAAAATATAAATGGTAGAATTAAACTTTTTAAAAAGTATTTTCTTGCCTTTGCAAACTAACTAAAAGGTTTTCAAACTTTTTAAATTGTCTTTTCTTTATTGGGGAGTCAATAGGGCAATACTTTTGATAAATTGATTTTATTTTTCTTCTGTTAGGTACTTGAGGCAAGGCAGAAGAGAGAGGAGGCATAGTACAACTAAAGAATTCAAGAAATCATAGCTTGCTAAATTAGGGAAATAATCTAATCCATCCTTCCTCATTTTACAGAGGAAACTCTGGTCCAGAAGGGATATGTGACTTCCTAGTTATGTCACAAGGCTAGTTTCTGGTAAAGCTGGGACTAGAACCTGGTAACAGGTAAAAACAAGTAAAAAAAAAACCAGGAAAAAAAAACAGTTAAAAAACAGGGAAAACTTAGAATGTTTTCTTCATGCTACCATGCTAGGTTCCTGTACTTACCCAGTTAAATATGCTATGGCAACCTAAGATTGCCAGTCCAGATCTGGTTTTGGAAAAACTTTTCTTTATACTTCAGAGAATCTAATAAATTTTAATTAAACTCTAAGTGTATAGGTAAATTAAAGAGAATTCTTAAGATTGCACTCAATAACAAAACGAGCTTGCCCTTATGAAAAACTCTTAACTTTTTTAAAAGGTATGAAATAGAGATAGTCAGTGGAAGGCAAGAAATTGACAAAGGGGATGAATAGGAGACACTCCTTCTCAGTTTACAAATTCACCAAGCTCTAGCATAGTTCATAAGACTGTCTCTTCCATAATCTTATAGCCCTTCTGTCAACATAAGGAAATTAAGGGATTTATTGTTGTTGTTCAATTGTTTTTCAGTTGTGTCCAACTCTTCATGACCCCATTTGGGGTTTTCTTAGCAAAGATACTGGAGTGATTTGCCATTTCCTTCTCCAGCTCATTTGACAGATAGGAACTAGGCAAACTAACACTTAACTCTAGTGACTTGACAAGTGTCACTAGTAAGTGCCTGAGGCTGGAGAAGAAATGAAGATGAGTCTTCTTGATTTCAAGCCCAGTGCTCTATTCACTGTGCTCCCTACCTGCCCTTGAGTAACTTAGCCAGGCTCAAACAGCCAAAATGTGCAGAAGCAGAATTGAACCCAGGTCTTCCAGGCTGTGATATTGGTTCTCCATCCACTGAGCCACAATTTCACTTAAGCAAAGAAAGCAGCTCATAAATACCACATCATTTTTCCTCACTATTTTCTTTTCCACTTTCCATCTCTCTAAAAAATATCTATCATGAATAAGATATTTTGGAGGTCTGGACTATTATGTATTTTAGTTCAGATTTCATCATTTTACTTATAGTGGCTTATAGGTATAGTGTGAGATAAGCCCAAATTCCTACTCCTAAAGATCTGAATCTTTTTTCCCCCCTTTTTAGCAGTGATTCTATTAACCAAGCCCTGAGAGAATTCACAGTTTAGCAAAGTCTCAGGCCAATGACTTCCAAAACAGTCTGATTTCATTCCCTCTCCCTCCTAACAACTCCATACCTGCTTCCATTTGTCATGCACTGAATCTAATGAGGAATTGGGGGCAGGGGGGAAGAGGGGTGCAGCAACGTGGAGAAGAAACTCCATTCAATTTGCCATATATGTTTTAATTTTTTTGGTCTTTTTGCTTTTCTGGAGGAAATTGGGTTTACAGCGACTTCCCAGGGTCACACAGCTACTAAGTGCCTGAGGCCAGGTCCTCCTGACTCCAGGACTAGTGCACTACCTACTGCACCACTTAGCTGCCTATCTATGTTTTATTAACCAACAGTGGATTACCTAGCAAACTGAGAAACATCAGCTGCTTCAAATTAGGAGCAATTCTAAATAAATGAACAGGACGGTTACGGAAGTTTGGCTGCATCAGCTCCTTAACAGAAAGAGAATTAAATACTTACTTATTCAGTGTGAGGTCAAGAATGAATCTGGAGCCAAAAGCCTCAATCTGAAAGCTCGCCTGGGCCAGATGCACAGCCTAGAGATACAAAAAGAGAGAAAGACTCTTAACTCGCTGGCTCCGTCCTTCCAGACTGACTGCTTTACAATCAAGGTCTGTATTTCACACGAACACATTAGTGACTTGCTCTTTAAAAAAAAAATACACCAAGTAACTTTTTGTGTGGTTTCTGTGGAAATACATGCGTATTTCTTAGAGCAAGAAACTGGGACAGTCTGATAAAAATTAACCCATTATGATGAGTGGCAGCACATTCTCCTTGACTTCAGAAATTGAGTGTGATGAATTATACAAAATGTCTGACTAATTAAGACCTGATTTTACCTATCCTGCTCATTATACTAACCATTTTTTTTCCCTACACACATAAGTGAAAAATCATGACAGACCTCTGGCCTCCATCAGAAGCTAGAGCTTTAAAATGCTGTATCAGCAGATTTGACTGGCCTGGGATATCGCAGCATTAGAATTGCAAAAAGTACTCAGTCAGAACTTAGCCCTTTTTTTCATGTAGTTAGATCCGATGTACACTTTTTATGCTGGTATGTGTTTTTATGAAACACTAGAAAATTCCATTGTTATTCTCCAACTTGAACCACAACAATGATCCCAAAGGAAATATGAAGCCTATTTACTTCATGGTAAAAAACCTCTCTAAGAAAAAGATCTGTATAAATTTAAATACCAAATTACAGCATATTCAGCAAGGTGTTATCCAAGACAAAATTTTCCTTTGTCACCACATCACACAAAGAGGACACAGATAATGTAACACCTACATTCAGCCCCCTACTGAGTCATGATCATTGCCTCCCCCAGGTTCCATTCCAAAAGCAGAAGTAGGTGTGGCAATCATTTGTAGAGTGGGACACATGTCAAAGAAAAGGCAACATGAACACACCCAACCCTTTCCCACCTCTGCACTTTTTTTTTTTACTTATGCCCTTCCCTCCACCTGGAATGCCCTCCCTCTTCTCACCTGCAACCTCCTCCACCCCATTTCACTTATTCAAATCCTATCTAGCCTTTCTATCCCAATTTAAAGGCCACCTCTTCCTTGAAAACTTTCCCTGCTCATGGCATCTGGTAGAATATTCATCTCTCAGAATTCCTATGGGACTTTGTTTATGCCTTTTTCTACTGTCTTATATTATAAGTTGCTTTTTTCCCTGCCTAATTTCCCCAACTAAATTACAAATTCCTTAAAGGAAGGGCTCATGCCTTGTTAAATGTTATATTCCGCTATTTTCTGCATAACAAGAACTCAATAAACAGTTGTCAAACATCTTCTTCATATACAAAGCTGGTCTTATTCCTCAGCTCAAAACTTTGCAATTGCCCACTTGGGGAGAGGGGGAGTGCTAGATCTGAAGTCAGGGCACCTAGGTTTAAATCCCGATTCTGCTACCTACTACCTATTGCCCCTGGAATAATCACTCTTGGCCTCACTTGTCTCATTTGTAAAATAAGAGGAAGGAAGGAAGTAAATATTTTAAGTACCTACTATGTGCCAGGCAAGGGGCAGTACACAGAGTGCCAGGCCTGGAGTCAGGAAGACTCATCTTCCTGAGTTCAAATCTGGCCTCAGACACGTGTTAGCTGTGTGACCCTGGGCAGGTCACTTGACCCTGTTTGCCTCAGTTTTCTCATCTGTCAAATGAGCTGGAGAAGGAAATGGCAAAGCGCTCCAGTATCTTTGCCAAGAAAACCCTAAAAAGGGTCATGAAAAGTTGGACACAACTGAACAACAATAAAAGGATGGGCCAGGCTTTCTCAAATGCTTTGTTGAATGTTGAGTGTTTTACATGATGTTAAATACTACACAAATATCATTTGATCCTCACAACCCTGCCAGGCAGGTACTACTGTTATCCTCATTTTTTTTTTTAGGCAATTGGGGTTAAGTGACTTGTCCTGGGTCACACAGCTAGTAAGTGTCTGAGGCCAGATAAACTCCAAACCCAGCTTAATCCACTGAGCCACCTGCCTCGATGGTCTACAGAGTTCCTTAAAGCCTTTAATTCTATGAGCTGATGGATAAAGCTAAAACTTTTTTCTCTGACATTCATAACTCTCTACCTTCAAACTAGCTTTCTAGCCTTATCTTTCACCACCCCCTTCCATTACACCCTATGCTCCAGCCAACCAGATTTTTCCTTATACCACCTACAGACTCTACCTTCTTCTGCCTCTCTATGCCTTTGTTCACACAATTTCCTATCCCATACCTTCCATCCCATGGAATTACTACTCATCCTTTAAAGCCCAACTCAATGCACCTAGACCGACAATTTCATGCCACTGTTATTTTTTTTAACATTGTGAAGCACCATCAGAAGAAAGCATTACAAGATGAAAATCCAGAAGCAAATGAAGGCCAGTTCATGCATTTTAAGATGGGTATACTTTGAGCAACAACAGGGTGCAAGATGAGATCACTAATGTTGATGAGATGGCTATTTTAAAGGCAGCAGAACAATTAAGATCTTGATGGCTAATGTCTGCACTTGTTAATGAGAAATTCATGATAAAAGAAGATAAATCTGGTTGACCACAGGAAAACAGATGTCCCCAGATCTGTTTCTCAAAAAACCAATTCACACTAAGTATTCAGAAAAGTTTTATCTAAGATGTCTGTGCAAATCTCTTTAAATAAACCCTTTTGAGGGGGCAGCTAGGTGGCACAGTGGACAGAGCACCAGCCCTGGAATCGGGAGGACCTGAGTTCAAATCTGACCTCAGACACATAGTACTTCCTAGCTGTGTGACTCTGGGCAAGTCATTTAGCACCAGTTGCCTCACTAAAAAAAAAAAAAGAAAAAGCCCATTTGAATTCATTGATTCCAATAAAGACATCCTTCCTCTTCTGGCTTACTGCAGCAAAGAATGAAGTAGGAATTATGGAGAAAAACGGATATCCAATGATATTGTATCTTATTCAATAGAATGTTGGGTGATGTGTTATTATGTTTCCCTATTAATTGATTTATACAAACTTTCTAGACTAAAAGTTATTCCACGCTCCGTATTCTCAGGGTCTCTCAGACCCAGGCCAATGCCAGCATATCCTAAGTACAGTCTCTCCTTGAGTAGCTAAGACATAAAGGCATGGAGGTAACCTGAAGCTCTCACAGACTACGCCAGAGGACAGGAACTTCTGGCAAGTCCTAATAACCTGGAAAGGCTTCAAATACAAGGCCAGTGATGGACAGTCTCGCAGAGACCCTCAAAACCAGAAGATTAGCCACCAGATAACCAATTGAAATAACAGCTGTGAAGTGCTTAGCAAAGTGCCTAGTAGGAACACAATAGGCACTTAATAAGAGCTTGTTCCCTTCCCACCCACCCCTCTCTCATTCCCACCAGGTGATGAACTTATTTGACTACAGGAATTCATAAAGACTACCTACTAAGGCATGGTAGGGTTGCAATCTGCTTCTTGTGTAAGGGGTATACAAATAATGAAGAAATGACTCTTTTAAAGTGTGGAAGAAACAAGAATACTCTGGAAGGTTTGACATTGTATGGGTGGAGCATTTATCTAGTTATGATGTTTGTGATCATTTATATTAAAAGTCAGGTATTAAACCCCTGGATAAGAATTGTTGGATCATTGTTTTATAAGGAAATAAGATTTTACTTATATCTCTTTTTATCATACACTTAAGAACTGCCTGTGATCTCAGTGTCATCTCACAAAGAGATTAAAGAACTTGTCCAAGGACATATATTAAGTTAGTAGGCAGAGGTCCAATAACATTTCATGAGCTCCACATGAGATCCTTATTCATCTACTGCTCTTTCAGGATCCACAAACCAGCTAAATGATTGATGACAGTTCTTATAGAGATGTTTACCATTCTCTTTGTGAGAATGCAAGATTTTATAGCCTAGGATAAGCACAAGAATGAGCACAGCCCAACGCCCTCCTACAGTACTGAAAACAGCTTTATGACTGAACTCTATAGTAACTCTCTTCCTCACATGAACAATGCACAATGAATTTACATCTGATCTAGAATCTGTAAACACAACTAGATCATACCTTATATACACAAAACTCCTTCACTGAACATCAAGATGCATAACTTTTCTTTTAAAGAAAGACATAACGAATAGATGACTTAATGACTCTAAAGTTCTTTAGACTTAAATTGAATTTTGTCATCAAGAGACATTAAGTGACCCTAGATATCTGTCACTTGTGAGAGCATATTAAAGAACTTGAGCGGGCATAGTCACATACTGTTGGAACTTTCATTCTAAAATAGGTAACATAAAAATGGACAAAAAGATTTAAAATCAATATAGCACAGAAAAAAGATGCTCATTCATACAGAAATAGTATTAAAGTTCCAAGACCTGCACCACTATTTGGAGTTAACAGGGCTTCACATGCAAAGTATATACAATCAATGGTCTTGACTAGTTAAACAGAATGCTTGACTTACACAGTACATGTGAATATAAACAGAGTTGAGGGCCTGTGGGAAAGGGAAAAAAAGGCACTCTTCTACTTTTCCAGTTACTTTAGAAGTAACAAATCTAAGTAGCTACAAGAAAACATTGGTGGGCTGTCTGGTAGGGCTTTGGACAATCTAACTATCATTAAACACGCTAAGGCTATGTCACCTCTTTCACTAGTATCTTCTCAAAGAGTTTACAGTTTCACCAGGAAGACCAAAAACATATATTTTTAAAAAATGAAGAATTTGCAAAGCAGCATATCAAAGGCAATATAATACAGGACAAAGGACAGGATAGATATTGAAAAGATATCATGGAGGAGGACTGAGCAGATATTAATGATGTGCATCATAGATGGCTTCCTGAAGCAGGAGAGTTTGGAGCTAAATTCCAAAGACATAAGAAGTGAAACTTACAGAAGAGCAAGAATAACTGTATTTTATGGCTGACTTGGGAAACTAAGATTAAGAAAACAAAATCTCAGCACGTGAGTCCTTTCTCTACAGCTACTCACTTATATGTCAAGGTTTGTTGCAAAAGTCATCTCAATC